AAAAATATGAAGATTTTTATAATTCTGTACATACTTGTATAATTTTGACTCTGTCCGCTGCATTTTTGAGAGCTTTATCGTCACAATCAACGGTAAGACTGGGTACATTATATCCTAGAGTTAACGCGACTAGTAAATGCCCCCGGCCGCCCCCCGCCTCCATACAATGTGTGGATGATGTCGCATTATACAGGGAGGCCACAAAACGAGACATTCTTTGAACCTAAAATAACTATATTATCTATACTTATAATACTAATATAATAAAGCGTAAACACACTTTGTTATGTATTTCAGCAATCACAGTATATTTCTGAATGTTTTTTTATTATTTTTTTTATATTTTTTTATATTTTTATTCATTTGGGGAATGGATAAATTGAAAAAAAAATCAGTAATAAAAGAAAGGAACAAAAATCACAACAAAGTAATTGTTATGGTAAAGGCCTTCAGTGTCATTGAATTTTGTCATTTACAAGTAATTTTATGTAATGTAAACAATAAAAATAAAGTTTTTATAATACTAGCTGTTCCCGCGTGGCTTCATCCACATGAAGTTATAAAAATTTTAAAATTGCAAATGTCAAATTTACTGTTACCATAATAACTTTGCTTCCTTGATGTTGGCAGCTTGTAGTTTATGGTCCCTTTCCTATATGAAGGTTTTTTTTTTCAATTCATTTTACCTCTAAGTTTAATAGCATTAAGTTATTTTGCGTAAAGGGTAAGTGTAGGGCTTTTTATTAAAAAAAAGAATTATTTAAAGATATCCTGTGATTGCTGACATCTTAGGCCATGAAGTAGTGTGTGTTTACACTTTATTATTTTAGTATAGATTATAAAAAATATAAGATTATACATCTTACTAATATTACAAATGCGAAAGTTTAGATGGATGGATGGATGTTTGTTAGAGTTTGTAGCCTAAACGGTTGAAGGGATCTTAATGAAATTTGGCATATATGTAGAGGATAGCACATAGGCTTTTGTTTTTTTTAATTCCGCGCGGACGAAGTCGCAGGCGAAAGCGATATTATATAGTTATATATAATATAGATGCGGCTACATCATAATGTAAAATGAAATATATTACCTCATAGCTCTTTTTACTTGTCATAAACTCTGTAATCTTAATTTCCGGTAGTACAGAACCTCCCCAACACTGTAAATGCTGTTCCAACTCTTCAACAGATATGCAATAGTCATTATTGACAGATAAACTGTGATTTTGTGCTTTGTGTATCCATTTACTAAGTTCACAGTTGTCTGAAACATTTGAAGTATATTTTATTGAATGTATAATTGGTTAGAGTGAAAAAGATGATATTGCCATCTTCTTCACTCTTTTGAAGAGACAAGAATGTTTATGAACATCATACTGTGATACTAATATTATAAATGCGAAAGTTGAGATGGATAGATGGATGTATGGATGGATGGATGTTTATTAGAGTTTGTAGCCTAAACGGCTGAATGGATTTTGAAGAAATTCGGCATAGACGTAGAGTATAGCCTGGAAGAACACATAGGCTACTCAGTTTTGATTTTTCATTCCACAAAGACGGAGTCGCGGGCGCTAGCTAGTGTTACTATAATTGGAACTAAGATTTGACACAAATACATTTATAATCAAGGCTATTCAATTACCAGAATAAAATGTAAATATAAAAAAAATCTGCAATGAAAAACCAATCATGCAATACAATACAAACATGCAATTTTTTTTATGGTTTAATAATAATATGAGTATTATTCCTGCTATATTTTAAACTGTAGTTATCTGTAATATACATAATCTTCATTTATATTAATATAGTTTCTAATTAACATACCACATAATAACACTATTTAACAATATATATTTAAGTGGTGGCTCGATCGTCGTTTTCTTTTTTTCCTGAATCCCAACTAATTTAAAAACAAACATCAAAATATAAAATTCGAAAACAAATTAAAAGAAAACATATCTTACATATACATCATGCAGATCATGTTTAGTACCTTTCCCTATTTAATTAAAACACACAACACATACTATTAAACATTTAATTTACCATAACATTTCATTATTAAAACATCATGCAATTAAAACAAAAACACATAGACATTTATATAAAAATGTTAACATACCAAGACCATCCACACTTATTAAAATATTTTCAAGCTCCGTCCAAACTTAGTAGCCAACACCTTCAAAATTAACATCAAAAATCACACAATGTTTTTTTTTTACCCATTCTTTTTTATAACATAAGGTGGCCACCTGAATCCGCCAAAATGGCGAAGCAACCACTTCCCATAAACATCCGCAACTACAGATGCGTTGCCCACCCTTATCCGACAGAGGAGGATACGCACATAAAGAGAATATCTCCCCTATGTATGTCCTTCTCTGTCAAATCCACTTCCCCTTCCCATCCTTTTCTTATAAGAAAAGGGTGGTAAAGAGAAATGGACTTAAATTAGGCCTCCGGCACCACACTCATCAGACGAAACATGGAATTGATTCCGTTTGACGCCTGTCTGTGTGGTCGTGGTATTACTGGGGGCGAGCCGGCCCTGCAGTGCTAAGATGTTAAAGTGGGCACTACCACTGATAGAACACTGGGACAATAACACCCAACCACCATTATAAAATAACACCCTTTGTGGAATGTACAATCAGCTTCATAAATGTATATATTTACAAAAAACAGTAGAACCTCGATAAGTTAAAGTCCAAGGGAAACACAAAATATTTTAAGTTATCAAGTGTTATAGAGGTTTTGGGCTCTGATGGGAAGGGAACATATTATTTTTGATGTTATAGGGATTTTTAAGTTATAGAGGTTTGAGTTATCAAGGTCCTACTGTATATACAAGTTTCTGAAGTCATAAATTATTTGAAAATGTATACATATTTATGCACCTGACTGTACACTCCAAAAGTTGAATACTTACTATTTTTTTTCGGTTCCGATGCATATGTCCAGAACTTTTCAACAGCAGAATTCAAGTCCCATTTATCTATTGTTTGTATTAAGTTTTTTGGTAGTAATTTCTCCCAGTGATTCTCAGTAAAAAATTCCACCATGTGACAATTAGCTAAAGGCAATAATGGATTCAGATATTTCAAAATTCTATCTAAATGTTGGTGTACTTTTGTTATTGATGTTTCCATTTCTGTAAATAGAATGAAATAAGTAATAGAATATATTCTAATATTATAAATGCGAAAGTTTAGATGGATGGATGTTTGTTAGAGTTTGTAGCCTAAACGGTTGAACTAATCTTAATGAAATTTGGCATAGATGTTGAGAGATGTGCTTTATACTTTTTTTTTAATAGCACGCGGACAGAGTCATAGAAAGCATACTACAGTGCACTCAGAAATATAAAAAAAACATCCACTATTTTCCTACCTTTAAAAAGATATATCACCACTATATGGATTATTTGATGATATTTTGAGCATAGCACACACTTTTTTATACTGTGCTCTTATAGCCTCTAGGAGGGCCAGTATATCATGATCCTCTGAGTTATTCCGAGGAAATGTTTCAATGAGTCCTTTTACTTTCTCTAATTGTTTTACTGTCTTATCTGTAAGTCTATCTTCTTGTTTTTCATCAGAATTGTTTTGTTCTATACAGTTTGTAACTATACCTAAGTAATATCCTGAAAAAATTAGCAAAAATTAAACCTTTACCTTAGAGTTATGCTTAACTTGTTAATGAATTTATTGCTCAACTTAGGTGAATGAAATAATCTTAGCATGGATATGTTAACTATCAAATGGACTATCTTACCCAATTCCCGTCCAATTTCAGCTCCTCTGTGGTATCCTAAGTGATAACCCTCGGGGTTCCCTTCCTCGGATCCAACCCTGAAACCTTCCTTATAGCTGTCCTGGCATAATGTGTTCTCACTTAAGAAAATATCTTCAATAACATCATTAAAATCTATATCGTCAGCCATTTAGCGAAGTATTAACATTTATTTACTTCTATTAACTTTTTGAAACTTACTTTTAAAATTATTTGTAATAACTAAACTTTTGTTACTACATTTATGACACTGCGCAAAGAACTTTAATGCATGTTATAATTGCATTCGTATCTAATTAAATTTTTTGTTTCACAATAACCTATTTAAAAATAGCAAAACGCGAAGAAAACTTGACATGTCAAATGAATCGAAATGACAATTGACAATTTCTCAGGTACAAATCAGACTTTTTTTGACTTAGAATAATAATGAAATAGTTCTTTGGATCAATTTAAAAAACTATTTCTATTTTTTCGATGTTAAAAATAATTAAAAAAGCAATGTTAAAATCAACATATTCATATAAATAATTATCTTTTACTTTGACATCGAGAGCTTAAATTGACTAGAAATATGTCACTGTCACTGAATTGTCAATCAGTCAATGACATATTTGCAATTTTGCACTTTTGCATATCAAAATCAAATGGTCTTATACATACAATTTCTTTACAAAAATTACGATTTTAATACTTAATATTCTCGTCTACTTATCTATTACTGTTTTAATTGAAAATGGTTAGGGAGATTACTACTGATGAAGTTAAAAAGCATCACGACAGAAGGAGTGCTTGGATCATAATACATAATGATGTTTACGACGTAACAAGTTTCCTGGGTGAGGTAAGTTATCATATTTAATTTCCGTTTGATCTATTATTGAATGATGCAATTACAGGAAATGTTTCATTTTGTAAATAATATTAAAACATGCTAAATATATCAAATATTTTCCTGTTTTCATTCAACTCGTGAACCCACAACCTTATTTCCTGTACTTCCTACCCACTTCGGGACTCCAATAGACCACTCTAATGGGATGAACCTAGAGCTCTTTAGAAAACGCTGTGCTAGATATATAATTTAGAACATGTTTCTACTTTTAGCACCCTGGTGGTGAAGAATCTTTGCTGGAATTTGCTGGGAAAGACGGAACAAAAGGTTTTGAAGATGTAGGACATAGTCAAGATGCGAGGTTAAATATCATTTTTAGTTCCAAAGACACTTGTCATTAAAAAAATCTTAGAAAGTTAACTTTGTATGTAGTTATTACAAATTTTGAGATGTTTTTTTTTATCTTTATGTACACAAATTTTGTAATTTGCATTTAAGATATGATAAAACATCTTATCTACTATAACTGTGTTATTTAACCAAGACACTGTTATGACAATTTTTGTTAAAAGTATATCTTTTAAAATTCATGTTTTTTTTTTTCAGGGAAATGTTAGTAAAGTACAAGATTGGTTCCCTAGCTCCATGTGATATTATCAAAAAAGTCCATTCATGTACCAGTTGGTAAGATATTTATTGGTTTATTTTTCTGCTTTATCAATGTTTTAAGCAATCACTGTATTCAAATGGTTTGATTAGTGCAGGGGTGTTGAACCTTTTTGCAAATAGTTTTGTAGCTATCCACATTCAATTTTAACACTTTCTGGTTTGTGTCCCCAACCTATATCTGTCTAGTCGCATATCATGTCAATACTACACTAACCTTTTACACACCTCTTGCTTATAATAAACAATTTACATTTAGAAGGATTTCCTTGGCAGACAAAAAACTTGAAAATTAATTGTAGGAGAATTTTTATAGAAATTACATGTTGGTGAATACAAAATTATCTAATTAGTTCTAGAATTATCTATAGAATGCTTTTATTTACTCTTTCTTTTTTTATTTGACATTCACAGCGGGAGGGTTTTTTGTTTTTTATTTAGTTGATTTTTTATTTTCTTGAAGCTGTTTAACACCTAAAAGAAGTATGGATAGCCAGAAATCCTGGAGAACATTTGATGGTCCACCTAGAAGGTTTAAAGTTTGTCTTGTAACTTTATTATTTTAGTTTGTATTTGTTATATAAAATCTTAGTTGGAAATTTACTTTATACTGTAATATGTTAAAAGATAAATTATATATTTATATAATAAATGATTACATTATATTAAAATCCTTAACTAATCAATAGCAAGTTCCAATAGTCTAATGGTTTGAGGTACAGACTACCGATCTTGCAGTCGAGGGTAAAAATCCCGCCATTAGAATATTGTGAACCATATCCTAGACCAGCCTACAGCTTAGTTGGAATAGTTAAAGGAAATATTAGTAAATTAACAAAAATCTACTAACATTTTTTTATAAAAAAAAAAATCTGTGCCGGTAGCTCCTTTAGTTTAACATTTTTATATTTATTATATACTTGAATTATGAGTTTTAGTTTTATGTTTGGTTTTCATTATTCCAGTCCAGAGATTAATATGCGCTGTCTTAGCACTGGAATGAAAGATTAAAGCACTGGGAATTTGGATGTACAATGTTCCAGTTGTAGTTCAGTGTAGATTGAGATTGCTTGTAAATATAAACCAAGCCATAGTTGGTAAATGCAAAAACAATAGTATACAATTTTTTTGATACTCAAAGTTTAATTTTTTAGTCTATTATATATCCCAAGTAGAATTAATATTTTCTTTGTATGAAATGGTCGATATTTTCGACGACGGTAGGTTACAGTCACCCAAGGCTTCAGTACGTAGCATTCCGTGCGGACCAACAGAGAGCGAAAGAAGGATACAGAAGATAGTTGTTCCACGGAACAGGTTACGACTTCAATTTTTAAAAACTCATTGATAACTGATGGTGTTAATAAAATTTGTGCAAGTGCAAATGTATGAGCTGTTGCTTGCGACTTCGTCCACGTAGAGTGTAAGATAGTAAAAAAAATATAGCCTAGGCTACTACTAAATTATGTCAGTAAAGTAAGCCAGTAGCGCTGTCATACAATTGTTATTATACACTAACTGGCGCTAATGACCCAATACCGTCTATGCATTGCAAATACAGGGCAATAAATGTCTGTGTTGAAACGTCATTACTTATGCTAGGAAATAAAAAAAATCCAACATTTTGTGACGTTTTTAATTACATTTATCTTTATGCACGATTTTTCTTTGTAGGATAAGAATTCATCCGTGCGAAAGGTGATTAATTTTTTAAGAGAAGTTATTTGATTGTCTCCTTTTATTTATTTTTAAATTTTTTAATTGTTTTGAACCACAGACGTCAGCCTCCACCGCCACCATCGAGGTTTTTATGGTTTTTTTGTAGTTTTGTTTGATTTTATTTTATCTACGTAAAGAAAACTAGTGTATTATGAACAGATAGTACGTTTAGTTTTCATCTATTTCGGTTGTCTTAAATAATAACTTTTTTACATAAAAAAAAATATAGTTCTGTTTTCATTGGTTGCAAACGTAATTATGAGGGTAGTCAAATAGTTATTTTGTAGAATACCAAGTAAAATTGCATTAAAACTTTATTATTATTAGAATTTTTTGTTATTAGACAGTAAGTAGTTTCATACGTTCTCTCATCTTTTCAAACCATGAAAAATGCGAGTCTACAGGAGACGCTAACAAGAAACATCCAAAAAAAAATTTTTTTTTTGGATTTTAGACGGGTTGTAGGACCAGGCTCGAAAAACAATTGTAATAAATTTACTTTTTTTCCAGTTCCAAATTGAAATGGGCCGTCATCGCCTTGGCTGGTGCTATTGTCATCGGTTTCGCGTTGAAGAAGTACTTAAGCTAAAAGCATGGATATAGTCAAAGGAAAACCGGATAAAACCGGTTTTAACCGGTTCTAGTTTCACGTACAAAGTAGTGCGATATTAAGTTTAAAAACGAGCATTTAATTGGTATGTGATGAATATTTTTGTCCGTTTTTTATTCCGTTATGTACAGTTTGCGGTAACGAACAAAAAACATGTCAAAACGTTTTTTTTTTTAAATTGTCAGAAATTATTTTTGTACATGTTTTAAGATAGAAACCAACGGTAACTTCTGCTTACTTTGGTTGCTGTTAACTGGACTATTTATTTAAATATTTTTATGATTGTTATTCGAATAATAGTAATTTTTTATTCTCAGTGTTGTGACAATAAAATATTTATTCCATATTTGTTTATTTCCTTCATATTTATCCTTTAAAAAATGTGTGATATTACAAAAAAAAAATAAAAAAAAACTTTTTTCTAATTATTTTATTAATTTAAAAAATAATAGCGCAAACGTGAGTAAAATAATATTGACTTCAGTTGTATAGCCTTTAGAATATGGTCCTATTTTCGCAGCGTATGCTATCGCTTGGAATACGTAGTGCTGTTCATGTACACTGTGGAACAGATGAGAGTGGGGTCCTGTAAAAACAGTTAAAGTAAATTTAATATATTGGACACTAGGCGTTTTTACTGTTGTTAACCCTTAACTAAAAATTGATCATATCCTACTTGATATTACCGTATTTTTTATCTTTTTGAGAAATCATTGCCAACTTTAGGATTTTTTTTTAGTTTTTTTTCTTTTTCATTTTTTTTTTTGAATTATACAGTACTTCCTTGTCTAAAATCGTTACCAGTTTACAATTATCAAAAAAAGTGGTCAACACACGATTGGCGCATCTGATAATTCTATTTCCACTGGTATTTATTCATAAAATCATTTATACAAAAAATCGTAGTTATAACCTTATTACTTCCGATTCTCAAAATGTTATCCTAAATTAAGAGTGATAAGGCATTTTTTACCATAATATGTGGGTTTCAATTACCTTTAGCGTAAACAGCGACGTCTCCTCCGCCATGGCTATTTTCATCGAGAGGTATGGCCGCGATCTGTTCATAGAAGAAACTCTCCGTATCCTCTTTGCTGGGCTCTCTCCGAACAGCTTTCGTCTCGTTGTCTACCGTTTTTATATCGTACTGGAAGGAGCCCGGCCCTCCCGTGCCGTAGGAGAGGGTTGTGTAGTTTATATGGTCGAAGGGAGATTCCCTCGCGATACCTTAAGACAATTAATGGAAAGATTTATTTTATTTGTATGTTTTCTCTTAATACAATCCGCGCCCCTTTCTTCAAAGAGGCATTAAAAGTGTTAAGAACAGAAGCAGCCAAGAAGAAAATCACTTTATATAGTTAGAACTGAGCAGTAACAGATTTAAAAATTACAAAATTATTTATGATGCATTGGATTTCGTCAGTGAAACCCCACAGTTATATTTCCGATGTTATATTTTATATCTAGTTGCTTACCAAACACACTTGACCCCCGTTCGGGATACCCGTTGATAGTAAGTGTATGCGTGTGGTCGCTGGTGACGATGACGAGCGTGTCTTCATCGCTGGTGATGTCGACAGCCGCTCGCACCGCGCGCTCCATCGCCACCGTCTCGTCTACAGCCGTCTTAGCTCTGCCTCGGTGATGAGCCATGTCTATTTTACCACCTTCTACCTGGACCAGAGGAGAGACTTGCAAGTGTGAAATAAAGGGAAGCTGACGGAAGCTGTCTAGAGTCAAAAAATGTAAAAATTACACTCGAGAGCATTGAATCCGGGTCAATAAAAAACCAAAAAAATCTCGTAAAGTAAGAATACTTAATAATTAAACGGTGTTAAATAGACAATATTATGTCCGTTAAATCTTATTAACATGATATTTTACTAATATTATAAAAGTTTAGATGGATGGATGTTAGAGTTTGTAGCCTAAACGGCTGAACGGATCTCGATGAAATTTGCCATAGATGTAGAGGATAGTCTTGGAAAACACATAGGCTACTTTTATTTTTTTACAATTCCACGCGGACAGAGTGGCAGCTAGTGTAAAAAAAAACTGGGTCAATGAAAAACCTAAAAATCTAAGCAAGAATGTTGAATGAAGCTTAATGATTGAACAGTGTTTAATAGACAATATTGGAGCCCTTATATTAATAATAATATTTACAAGCCAATACATTTTTTGATTAAAAATATGATTTTCTTGAATTTTGGCATGCGTTTCCTTGTTGCTTCCATTACAGCGTTAACGCGGTAGTACGCGGTACGCCAAGTTTCTTATACGATTTTCGTTAATATTCTCCCATTACTCAGTGTGAGGGAGAAACTAAGAAGTTTTAATACCTAAATTTAAGGAGTATTTAATTATCTTAAACACTGTTTATTTCATTAAGCTAGCATTTTTAATTTATAGTTTTTTGTTTTAACCCGGATTCAGTGCTCTTGAGTGTACTTCGATACCATATTGGTAGCTAACCATGAGAAAATATCCTTTTGTATTCTTGCTCAATACTTTTATCGCTGCTTTCGTCATTTCTGATATCGAAGGCTGGCCTTCAGGATTTTTGTTCCTTTCGAATTCGTACTGAAGGTGTTCATTTGCGAAGATACCTGGTAAAAAAAGACAAATTAACTCACTATCTAGACGCAAACTAGATTAATAAATAATTTTTTCCCCTTTGGCAGGAAACTGGTGTCCAAACTTTGATTATCGTACTATTTAAAAAAACATATAATTTAGGTTGCCAATTAAAAAAGATAAATATCAAAACTAAACCAGCGACTCCGTTCGCGTGGATTTTAAAAACAAAAGCAGCCTATGTATTCTTCCAGACTATCTACATATATGTCAAATTTCATGAAACACGTTCAGCAGTTTAGGCTACAAACTCTAACATACGTCCATCTAAACTTTCGCATCTTACTAATATTATAAATGCGAAAGTTTAGATGGATGGATGGATGGATGTTTGTTAGCGTTTGTAGCCTAAACGGCTGAACGAATCTCTATGAAATTTGGCACAGGTTTAGAGCATAGTCTGGAAGAACACATAGGCTACTTTTTATCCCGGGAATAGTTACGGTTCCCGAGGGATTAATTAATTTAGTTTTTTAATGTTTACACGATCATTCTGCAACGGTTCAACATATCTTATTGAAATTTGGCACAGATATAAAACAAAGTCTGGAGTACACATGGGATAAGCTTCATCCCCGAGAAATGTCCGATTCCCGAGGGATACGTAACTTTTTGTAATTTATATAGTTTGTATGTTTTCTAATACTACGCGAACGAAGTCGCGGGTAACAGCTCGTTTATAATATTAATAAGATTGTTATGGGAACCAAACCATTGATCCCAGCTAAACGGATGTTATTCAATAACACTGTATTATATTTACGAACTAGCTGTTGCTTGTGACGATACACGCAATATTAAGATTTAAAAAAGTAGCATATAACATGCCCGTCTATGGCAGCTACCCTTCAGTGAAAGTCCGGTCGAAATTGGCCCAGCCGTTTCGGAGGTTACCCGGAACCAACGCGGCTTGCAGACAGACAGACAAAGAAAATTTTAAATGCGATTTTCGTTATCATCAACTCAAATACATCATCTTCCCGAAATCTGTAATTTTTCTTTTGATATCGCAAAGAGACACTCCAATTATTTTATATGTATAGATTACTATTAACAGGTCTGTCTTCAGGTTTTGATTATTTTAAAGAATTTCGTAAACTTACCGAATAAATAATCAATATCATCTTTTATATTTTGAAGCTCTCCGGTGTTTGAAACAATTTGATACTTCAGATTTCTTTCTTCTTTATCCCTCTTATAAACATCGATCAAATCTCTACCATCCTGTCGATAGCAGGACCAGGCGCTGATTGGATCGTCAGGAGTGCCAGTGGAATTAGATACAAGCACTTGTCTGCCTCCACCAAGAACTACCTAGTTAAAATGCGACTTGCATTATTAGTGTAAGAGAAATATTTTTATGTAATTTTGATCATAAAAAACATCATAAAAACATAGACTATGTTACTCATTAATAACGGTGTAATAATTTTTGACTCATTTCAATTTACAAAAATACAAAATTTTCCTTGTATAATATTAGTATGGATGAATGGAAATTCCGTAAAGTATATAACATTAGAAGCTTCTTCATAGTTCTATCGTTATTATTTTTAAACAATAATTGTAACAACGTAATTATTCTTCGATAATCAGTCCACCGATTCCCGCGAGTATGGCGCGCTTATCTTAAACTTCAGATTGACGTTGACAGATGTCATAGAGATGGGACGTGTACGTCAATGATCTAGTGTTGCGCCGCTACATCGGTACGGTACCGATTTCTTAACACTATAAAAAATAACCTTGAAAAATTGAAGAGCGCCAAAAGGTAAAGTAGTCTTTTCAATTATATTGACCTCTCTTTATAATAAGGTTAACTGGCCAGCGTATTTTGTATAGTCGCGTATCCTATTTTCACTGCCATGACAGAAAGTACAGCCGTAATCATTTTGGTTAATAGAAATAGTATAAATGTACATAGACGATGAAGACTTACATGTAAATCTCTCCCTGGCCAGTCCTCAATTAGCTGTCGTGCTATATCCTTGCATTGTTTGGCATTTGCCGGCATATTCGCCTCACATTCCCAACTCCTTGACGCACTATGCGCGTACAGTGGTGCTGGAGTCGCGTGTGTTACTCGCATTGTCGTCACCAGACCTGACATGACAAATATACTGCGGATAGGATAAAAGGGACTAGTAAACTAGGACTAATAGGAATCGCGTAATAAATAGGATCTTTAATGAGTGATGAAATGTCAGTTTTAATTTAATGCCGTCTACACACGTTCAGTTTTATCTGAACTGGCGGAAAAAGAATCTAACGTGTGTAGGTAAAACAAAAGATTGAACAGTTCTCAATTAGATTTATCTGAACGTTCGGCTTATCATACTAATTATTTAACATCTCTGATTAGCAATAAGTAAATACTTTGATATCAACAATTACTTACCACTGCTTTTCCCGGCTTTTAGAGCGTAAGCAGCTAAAGAGTCTACCCACGCTTCTTTATTCAAGGACATTTCACAGTTATTTTCTGGTACGGTTGCGTCAACACCTAACGTGCCGAGGTTGGCTTTGATACCGGAGAATAATGCGGTGGCAGAACAAGCAGAGTCGGGTACCATTTTGTCAGCGGAATATGTCTAAATAAAACTAATTATATGAAAAGAAGAAAGCAAAGTCATAAATTATATAAGAATTGGTTAGGAGAACTTTCTTAAATAATAAAAAAAACTGAATAGGACAATATGGTCTGAATAGGATAATTGGGTATCGTAGTGATCTTTATAAGAACATAAATGTTTTTGTTTTCAAAACTAGCTGTCGTCCGAGGCTCCTTTTGTGTGAAATTAGAAAAAACAAAACAAAGTAGCCTATGTCTCCAGAACATTCTCTAAACCTATGTCAAATTTCACCGAGATCTGTTTAACCGTTTAGGCTACAAACTAACAGATATCCATCTAAACTTTCGCATTTATAATATTAGTAAGAAGTAAAATTTATCTTTACAAAGACATTTTCTTAATGACAGTAGACAATGTACCCCACCTTTAGCAAACCAACGTGAGGAAATTTCTCGAAGGCCAGTCTATGAGATTCTCCACCACGGTATATCCTAGCAGCGGTGATGGTGTTAGGTCCCATCCCGTCACCGACGAACAGGATCACATTTTTAGCTGTTCTTAAATTAAATTTAACTTGCAATGCCTCCTCCAACTCCTTTTCCGCTAAGGATTTCCAGTATTTTTGATCTGGAGCCACAGGAAAAACGATTTTAATTTAATTAGGAGTATTCTTGTGTTAGCAAGATCGTAAATAAAAGCCAGTTACAACAGTTTAGACCAGTGATACCCAAAGTGTCCGAGTCGGATCACTTAAAGAACACAGAAGCCCTGGCAACGATCTACGATTGTTCGAAACAAATTTGGGGTCCACGAAAATTTTATCTAATATATGACGTATATGGATCACCGCTCGCGTGTACATAAACCCTGTATACGAAATAAAATTGTACAAACATTTAATTTGAATGATTTATATTTCTAAAGCAACCCACCCCGTTACAACTATGTATGGGATTCGCGGGAAAAAGTCGGAATCTCTGATTTACAGCGACAATTGACAATAATGACCTAATTGTTGGTGGATCAATTGTAAAAAAGGTACGTAAATGCAAACCAATAGTAAATATCGTTTCATTAGTGTTTAATTTTTTTTTTTACTTATAATTTGTATGAACGTTGTTTTTCTGTAGCACAATACCTACATTGTGAGCATAATTAAACAAATGTGGTATCTAATTAAAATATTTACATTAAAAACATAATATTGTTCAATACAACACTATCTCATCTCACCAATTATGTGTTAAACTGTTTAGGTTAAGTTACAACGGATGTTATACAACAGATAAAACAAAATTTAAAAAAAACAAGCAATTAAAATAATACAGCTAATAAATCGTCATCGTTACGAATATATTTACATTTCTTATCAACTCACCTGTTTGTAATGAACACGTTGTAATACAAAATATAGACAAAAACACGACCACACTCCACGAATGCATTTTGATGACTGTCGAAACGAAGCAGCTGGCCGACTGATTCCGAATATAATAGTTATTGTTATTATCTGTGGTATACTGTAAGCGCCGTTTTTACTTATGCCTGGTTCACACTTGGCCAGCACAGTTGGATATTAGCACAAGCCAGGCATGGATTGTATGGACTCATTGGTACTAGATTACTTTACGCCAGTTAAATTATTATTTAATCTAAAGAATGTTCCAGAAATTGGATCCCGTTTAAAGTGAAATATTTAACAAAAAAACTTCTTAGTCTTTGTCTTGACGAATTGTTACGTACTTTTCTGTCGCATAAAGACCTTGAAAATACTGTTTTTATTTATTTCATGTACTTTGAACAACGAAACAAAATAATAGTTAGTCATATATTGAAAAAACTAATTTCATCATGATATATTTGAATTAACTATAATTGACTTGATAAATGACGATCAAAAAAATAAAAGATCAAACAAGATATGTATTATCTGAAAATTATGCAGATAGTAATTAGTAGATTATAATAATGACTAGCTGTTGCCCGCGACTTCGTCCGCGTGGTATTGGAAAACATACGAACTACATAAATAACAAAAAGCTACGTATCCCTCGGGAACCGGACATTTCTCGGGGATGAACCGTATCCCATGTGTACTCCAGACTTTGTTTTATATCTGTGCTAAATTTCAATAAGATATGTTGAACCGTTGCAGAATGATCGAGTAAACATTAAAGAACTAAATGAATCCCACGGGAACCGTAACTATTCCCGGGATAAAAAGTAACCTATGTGTTCTTCCACACTATACTCTACATCAATTCCGAATTTCATCGAAGTCCGTTTAGCAGTTTAGGCTACCAACTCTAACAAACATCCATCCATCCATCTAAACTTTTGCATTTATAATGTTAGTATAAAGTATGATATGATATATGATATGATTAGTAAATTACATTATGTATTGTTGAACACCTAATTAATTACTTTATAATCTAGAGGCCGAATACTGAAACGGCATTTAAATATCGAACAGCGTCTTTAATTATAAAGCTATTCCAAATGCCATTATTTTTTTGACGTCTAACAGATTGTAACCATCGCTTATGTAGAGAAGTGTTAGTTTCATTCCAGTATTCCGCTGTAAGTTTTTTTGGTCTTGGTGTTATAAGAGCGGGCTTTTTTGACTAAACTGTCATAACACTGTTGTGCGGTTACCGATTGTTTCGCCCATTAACTGTTTGGTTGCACAACTAAAAATCGAGTAGTGTACGCTCTATATAAGTCCATAGAAAACAAAGCGCGACTAAAGATGTGCGATCGTTTAATTTCAGGCGTTCGCACGCTCTTTGTTTGGACAGACAAATTTTAATTGCATTTATGTTCCGTATGGTTTACTTGGTAAGATAATCGGGCTGTCATGGTCCGAGATACATCGCAGAGCCCAAGACAGAGCGAGCTGGCGGCGTACTGTGGACGCCCTCTGCCCCACTTTGGGGACATAGGAATAGAAGAGAGAGAGAGAGATGGTTTACTTGGACCCACGAATTAAGGTAGATACAATTTTGTAATTAAAATACAAACAGACATATTGTTTACTTTATTAAAAAAATAATCTATCCTTAAATTATAATACATATGAATTAAAAATCACTATTTATTCTGCTTGTCCGTTGTTTTGGCAACACTGTCTCGCCGTAGGGTTCCTTCATCTTCCTGTACAAACTGTTAACGACAGTCAAATAGTATAGAGAATACCCTGGAATTACAAAATAACACTTTATCTTAGTTGCTTTATTAAGAACTTCAATAAGTATTTATTCCTACCAGCTCCAACAATAAACAGGAAAACAACAGCAATAATGTGAATAGGGTTGTCGAGATGCGGTCGGAGTTCGCTGCTGAATAGACAGGTCACTGCGGCGACAAGGAACAGGCACAAGATGAAGAACGAGTTGAACAGGATCGACAGCTGCAGGAATTCTGGACGTCTCTGGAATGTTCCAGAATAGGAAAGGATTTAATCGATTTCGAACTGACCATAAACATAATTTAAACAAAAGTTTTTTAATGTCTATGGTTCTGGCATAAAAATACCACTGACTATAAATGGTTGAAAAGTATTTTATTTACGGCATTTCGGCGCTAACTGTAGCGATAGATGCTGAGGATATGAATAATAAAAGATAGACTGCCATCTCGCCATCGCCTATCCATTTCTACAGATCAATGTAAAATACTCACAAATCCCATGCCTGCCAACACAACGAGGTTACTAATGCCCGAGAGTGCAGAGAACATGATCATAGTCAATGAGATTAGGTTATCTTCTTTCTCTCTCACTCTGTGACGAGGTAGATTCCATGCGCCTACCACTATGTATGCTATGCAGAATAACTGGAAAGAAGAGAATGGATAGATTTTCATCACTATACAAGAGAAAACCGTAATATATAAGGAATAAAACTTTGGCACAAGAAAGTCAGTGTCTAAGGTATAAAGAAACAATACTCACAGTAGATATAATGCAGAGTACGAGACATCCTGTCTCTAAAGAGAGACACCCACAACACCGCCGTAATGTTGGTAGTACCATCTTGTATCTGGACCTGTAAATTCAGTTCTTACGTTTCATGTGGTGATATTGTTAATCCAAGGGAGAAATAGTATTGGTTAAGTCAACCAAACATGAACCTATATGCAACACCTACTATGGGCGTCGCCAGCCGATGATTTAAGCTAGGTCTAGGACGGCTACCTCTTTGTCCCCCTTTGGCGACGCCCATGCTTTATAATTTGTTAGTTGCTACATCTGGTTAGTGAAGTTTTATTAGAATAGATCTTAGTGCTAGACTTTGAACGGCTTCTATCCTGTCCTTTAGTTCGTTAAGGACCACCCTTTGATTGGACACTAACGCCCGATTTGTGAAACGAATCTTAAATGCTTCGCTTTATAAGCCCAGCGAACAATCTGAAAGACGGTCTTTGTTTTGGGAGTTTAAGGCTGGCCATATCATTTAAAACGCTGTATATAAAATTCGTTTCAGTATTTGGACTTCAGTGGTAGTCTATGGAGAGACCGTACAGATAATTATATAGATATTAAAGAGTATAATTCTTAAATCCTATCCTAACTTCATATAAGGCATCTTATAAATTACAGCAAACCTCATTTCCTACCACAAATGACTTGTAATAACCTATTAGATTGCAGTCCTTGACTGATGCAATCAAACTTTAACTCTATTTCCTATTCATAAAGTGCATTACAGTTTGCATAGTTTAAGGGTGACATCAGCACGTTTGATCTGCAAAGAACATCGTCGCGTGGCCTGAAATAGGTCGTCCTATATATTGAAAATAGTATGCGTTTCAATATGTTAATTTCAAGATGCGTTGTAATTTAATCATTTACTTGTTTTGATATATGCCAGTCACAAAACACTTTCATTTAAATCTGAAGACGTTTAGGAAGTTTTATAGAAATTAAAACCTAAAACTCGATAGACTAAAAGATCAAAGGTGGCGGAACGCCAACTATTAATAACCTAAATGTTTTGGAGTAATTAACCTTCTATTCAAAGCTAGAGATGAATGTAGCAGATAAAATCCTTATGGAAATGACCGTTATGAACAAAACGGCCTTTAATGACGGTGGTCATGTAAGGCCGTTTTGTCCATAACGGTCCCGTCAGAATCAGGTTAATTTCGACCATCGCTATCAATATTCTACGTCCAAGAATGTCCTAGTTGATGATTAAAAAGGATTTTTAAAATAATAGTTGAAATTCTTATAAGATTCCTAACTGAATTCGTCTAATGACCGGTTTCTCAGCAACATTTAACCATTCGTTAGTATTTTCGGTTCGTTAACTTCATGAAATACGTTCCGAAAGTATGTAAATTGAGTTTGACTACGTTGAAGCGTAGACCATCCTAGATACAATTAATCACTCGGTTATAATAGAGTAAATGAAAACTTCAGAAACCAAGCCTAAGTCTAGTAAATACAATGAAATACTCGGCCTTGAAACCATAGCACTGCAATATTGATTGATGAAACCTTCGGACTATCATTTCGATATATGACTAACTACAGACAGACCATCTGTTCCGTTTCACATTAAAATTATTCTAAAATTATCTGTTGCTCGCAACTTCGTCCGCGTTAAATTAAAAAATAATAAAAAAAAACATTATTTTACATACGATAAATTACTTTTCTAATAGTGAAATAATTATTAAAATCAGATCAGTAGTTTTTGAGTTATTTCTATACATACAAAAGTTAGTATAAACATAGGTTATGTGGTTTGGTTTATTTTTAATTACGTAAATAAATAAATGACTTAACATTAATGCCATTTTAATAAAAATACATTATAGTTAGTTAATTTATTCATTTTTTTAGACCAGTTGGGATTGTATTGTTTATCAATATAATTTTCAAGTTTGTTAAGTTTTAGTTGACTAGTAAAAAAATTTATGTTTTTAAACCAATATCAAAAGGTAAAATAAATCTGTAATTGCATTGATTACAAAAAACGACGTTATTGTGAAATCACTTGCATTAATAAATAACCTATGACTCCTACATTGTTTTGCTTTATATATTTTTCTTTTTAATACTCATTATTAAATTTGTATTCAATTGAATTACAAAGATTTCAAAAATCCTTTTATCAGAATTGTTAATGTAATTTAGATTTGACAAGCTACTTGACCTTAGCTTTTTTTAGACTTTGACAAAAGTGAGATTATTTGTTTTTCCAGAATGTTCTAGAAAAAAAACTCGAAGTCAATATTATCGTACCAATAAAATTTTAAACTTACGGATTTTAAATAAATATATTACACAAAACAATACTAACGTTCAAAATGTTTTCTTGTTGCGCTGCATTGCATTAATTCTTGTTTTATTGCCAAACATAGTTTAAACACAAAATGTTAATAACGTCCAACAATAGAATTCGACAAGTTCTAAATTCCATTTCACTTAATGTTCTATGATATTATTAAAAAAAACATTCATTTATTTATGTAACAGATTGAAAAAGAACGGAACGCACTGCGCGGCGGTTTATGAGTAACTGACGGGCGATTTGGCGCCAAACGCGCTTCCTACATCCATGACCATGGCCTTGTGGCGGCCATTGCTGAGGGCATCATTAATTTATTAACTGCATTTAATTGTTTAGTAAAATTTCTTTTATCTATATCAACACATTTTAATGTGATTTTTTTTTTCATATCTCATTGAAGTGAAATAAAATCGAAGGGAAAATAAAGATGCAAAAGTAATTTTTATCACTTTAATTAGTCAATCGTATATTTTGATAGCCATAAATCCAACTAAATCGTTTCTATCGCTGTTATATTGTTTTCTCTAAGTTCTTGAGTGTCAAATCTCCTCGATCACAAAATACCTCGGCATTATAGTTACTGGTTCTTCATACATTACTTCAAATCAGACAATCTGTTTTATTAACTTCACATTAGCAGTATTTAAATGCATCCAATACTTACGTATGACGTATATGAAATAGGCATATACCACTGAAACAATAAACATTGTTTTATTTTACGAGGACTTTAAGGTGGATTTCCATTACCTGTACAGTTTAGCAATGGAAGCTGACATTAAGCAATAATTATTTACTATTTAAAAGCACGGCGATACTGGTCGATATTTCCTTGTGAAGCAGGAATTCGAGTAAAAAGCAGCAAAGTATATTCATTGCCAGCATAAATGTCGCGAATATCAAATATAATCGGAGAAATACGCGGAGATTCTGAAACAAATAAAAAAAAAAACAATATCGATTTAAAAATTTACAACATTCATTTTTCTAAACAGATCATGGTTATTTGATAGTGGCCAGTCACAAAAAGTACAGTCGGGTATAATTGTGATGCAATAAATAATGAGGTTATAAAAATATCGTTACCAATATTTAAAAGATAGCAACATCAAAAATAATGTATCTTGACATATATAGAGGCGGTAAACGTAAATTATTTGCAAATTATATTCAGTCGTTGAATTTTTTACTTGATTCAACATTCGTGTCGTAATAAAAACGTAATATTTTGGTCTTTATTTAACTATACCTTGTGTATTCCAATTAGAAGTATGATTGTAAATTTAATATTCGAAATTCCGATAGGAAAAGCAAATTGTCCCAGTAGTAAAACGTCTACCAACGTTTTCATTGCATTCGGGTCGTCCATAGATAAATTCATAGACAGAGTCATAGATAAGTAAACGGCCAGTGATGTGATTACGAAATGTACAGCCTGGAATCAAATAATACGGAATTAAGTAGGGTTAGTTTAAGCGATAAATTGTAAAATTATTCAGGTTTAGAAACGACGGCCTAAAATAAACACAATAGGAATTATAAGTCTTCTTAAATAAGAGTTTTAATTGATATATAATCTATCGTTAAATTGTTACATTAATTTTGCTTACCAATAGAAAATATCCAATAATGTAGCAGCCCGTTTTCAGATTTATCCAGATAAAACATTTTTCGTTTGCCATTTTTAAATCACTTTCTAAAAAATACCACAGACAAATCAAGGATTTATTATGCCCTGTCAGTATCTCATGGTAAAAGAAACAATCGATTTTTATGTTTACTACAAAAACGAGTTATCTTTCAAACTAATTAAATGTTATACAAAATTATCACAAGTTATTTTAGATCGATAAACGTGCTGCAACCTAATATACTAATTATAGTAGAAAAATTTAAAAAACTTGCATGTTTTTATTTATTAACAAATATTAATATGTTCCTCTTCAAAAACACCTCAGTCAAAAAAGTTTGAGCACAAGGAGCCGGTTTCCAGTTCAGTCATAACTTTATAAATTATATAGCGTAAACCAGTTGAGCATAACAAAATGTTGCGAAATACAGTGCAGCGACAGTTATAACTAACGTTATAAAAGCTGTTTTCATAACTGTTACGTTATCGCTAACCGCTATTTAGCGTTAGTTGGAACTAAACTGTTTAAATAGTACGTAATATTACATAACATAGTATTAGTATTAGTACACATTATTGTAGTGACATAAATCATCAAAAATAAGGGTTATTTTTGGGTTTTACGGTGTCTATATACGGATATTAAACGATAAAAGTAATTAAAACATTAAAAAACAATAGTTTATTTCCGAAAGTTACAAAAACTGTATAGGCATTTAAAATATTAAAATAAAAAATGCTTCATATTTCAAGGCTGATTAAGTTTTTTGCCACCTTAAAAATGAAACATTAGAGTCAATAGTTTCTTTTAAAAATCGTAGTCTCAATAATCGTGTGGTATTTTTATACTTAGTTAACTTAAGTCCTTCCTCACTGTTTTTTTTGTCGTTAAAAGATCTGTCAATAATATTTTTTATGTCACATATTCGCTTATTTCAAACTGTTTCCTTTTGTAATTTTGTGTTCTTAGGTTCGATTTGCTTCATATATCTCCAAATAGTGTGTATGAAATAGGCGTTCAACACTGAAATGCAAAAAAATGTTTTATAAGTACTCTAAAAATTTACTCCGATTTCTTTGTTCTTAAATGTTTTGGTCTAGTCCTGATTTCATACTTACGATTAATAAGAACAGATATGCTAGCAGCAAGATCTATGTGGAAAAGGAATTCCATAGCAAACCCTGCGATGACTGTAAATACTGCCATACACGTTGCGCATATCAAATACACCTTAATTCGCAGAATACTTTTCTGAAACCATTAATAGTTTTTACCCACAGATCAAAATTGAGCGCGGTTTTATTATTAAAACTTTTATTCAGGAAAAAGGTATGCATATATACCGACAAGGATATCTTACCCGGTGGGCATAAAACAAACTAAATTATAACAGTACACTAGCGCCATTCTGTGAACTTCAAAAAATTTAGCATTAAACTCTTAGGACTGCAGCTGTAATGTTATATTTTTTATGCCATTTTTGACAGAACTAATCGCAACAGCATCGTCTCTTATTGACTCAAACAACCTTGTTTACAAATTTTTCAATAGACTTAACAAAAAAGAAATAAAAAAAAAACACTATCTAATTCACGAATTATGATCAATTTAACTAAGTAGTCAAAAAACTAAAATAAACATTTCATTTTCGCTTACCACATGCAATCCAACTAGTAGTATTATTATAAATTTTATATTCGATACACAGATGGGAAAAGCAATCTGTCCAAATGCCAAAATAGCCATTAACTTCTTCATATCTCGAGGATCATTTACTGATAGTGTTAGAGGTACACTCACTATCGTATATGTTACTATCAGTAACAACGCTGTGTGGACAACCTTCGAAAAAAACGTATTTCCAGTTTCAATTTTTTTATTACAAAAAAATAATATCTAGCAATTTTTAGAACTTTTACTTACTGCGAGAAAGTAGCCTATAGTGTAGGACGCTGTTTTCAAATCCACACAAAAACAACATCTTCCATAGTCCTTTTTTATCATCATTATTGTAATGTTTTAAAAAATGATTTTTAAAGTTTCTCTTTAATCTGTGAATATAAATTTCTTGTCTTATTGGTATAATATTTACTTAAAGGTGTTTGAAATGTAATTCAAAATTAAAACTAGTTACATACGTCAGTAGTTATTTATGGGAGCTCTTTTTAATTTTTTAAAATGTACAAGTACAGACGTAAACACATATATGTAAATAACACCATTACACTTGAATACTCCTGTTCAATTTGATCGGTTACATTCAATAAACATAACTAACCACATTTGTACACAAGCTATCGTATTTCATAAACGATAAGAAATAAATAGAAGATATAAACAATGCAATAACGTAAGAGACAACCTGCTAATTAACAACACGACTTTAATATTCTATGTTTTGATGTTATATGACTTAGTGTTGGACTCTAAAATAACTGCTTTTTGTAACGAACGTTATTTATATCTTTCAAGATTTAAAGTTTTCACTTCTATCATTTGTTTATTTTTTTAACTGGAAAGTCTTCCTAAAAATGTATACAACATTTACAAAGTAATTTTAGCAACGATTTAAAAATTAAATCAATATTTTTTAAAGCGTTATTAACGTGTTATCCGTTTTTTATCTGTTTTTTGTGTGCGAATGAATGAAGTATGTTCCTTCCGTCTCTTTTTGTTACATAACGGTACAAACCTCTGCGAATCGAGACAGGTTTTTTAACTCAAAGCATTTTTGCGCGTTGGAAATCCCCGTACCTTTATTACGAATGGAATGTGGGTTGATTCTTGTACCATAACATACACTTACTTTGCTTTTATATATTGTGTTTCGTTTAATTTAAAAACGCCAAATGAATATATTAAGTTATCGATTATTTTGCTTTGTATTTCTTAGTTTTTCTTTGAGCATCAACGCAAAATCTTACTTCTTACTAATATTATAAATGTAAAAGTTTAGATGGATGGATGGATAGATGTTTGTTTGAGTTTGTAGCCTAAGCGGCTTAACGGATTTCGATTAAATTTGGCATAGATGTAGAATATAATCTGGAAGAACACAAAGGCATTCACTTTCACTCATTCACTTTTGTTTTTTCCAATACCACGCAGACCTAATCGCGGGCGAAAGCTAGTACTATTATAATAAAGCGTAAACACACATTTCTTTGCGGTGTAAGATGTCTGCAGTTACGGCATATTTATGAATAATCCTTTTTAGAATAAATAGCCCTCCACTTACGTTACGCTTTAGGCTACATATTTTCACGCCATTAAACTTAGGGGGTAAATATTTTGGATAAAAACCCTAACGTGGGAAAGAGACCATAAGTTGTTGCCAACATCAAGATTGAAGCAAGGTTGCCATGCTTTGTCATCACGTCAAATAATTTTGACATTTGCAATTGATAATATGACAATTGTAAACAACAGAATACAATTATCATAACTTCATGCGGGTGAAGCCGCACGGGAACAGCTAGTAGTTTATAAAACCCTGTCCCGGGCGTCATAATTAATGTAGGGATCGTTGAAATAAAGTACGAAATAAAAAATAATAATTTATTAGTTTATAATGTTACTTTACATTAGCATTACAAATTAATTTTTTTAAAGAAAAATAGTAAAATACAGATTATATTTATATATTTAAGGCAACATTATTTTAAACTTATATCCTAATATAAACAATAAGTTTTCATCACCATCGATAAACATTTTATTTAATCACGTTTATATTTAGCTACCGTATAGTTTTGTAAATCTGTATTTATATATATAATAAAATTAGAGTGTCTGTTTGTAATATCCAAGGAAAAATTCCAGATTTCGGGAAGATAATGTATTTGCGTTGCTGATAACGAAAATAGCATTTAATAAATTTTTGTCTGTCTGTCCGCAACTGCGTTTGTTTCCGGTAATCTCCGAAACTCTCTATTTCAACCGGACTTTCATTGAAGGGTAGCTGATATGGACTGGCATAGGCTACTTATTTTTATCTTAATACTAGCTGTTCCAGCGCGGCTTCATCCGCATGAAATGTCAGAATTCAAACGCACAAATGACAATTACTTCCTTGATGTTGGCAGCAACTGATGGTCTCTTTCCCACATTAGGATTTATAATATAAAATATTTACCCCCTAATTTTAATGGCGTGAAAATATATAGCCTAAAGCGTGACGTAAGTGTAGGGCTTTTTATTAAAAAATAACTATTCAAAAATATGTTGTAATTGCTGATATCTTAGGCAACAAAGAAGTGTGTGTTTACGCTTTTATAATAGTATAGATTGCGTGGACGAGTCACAGCAACAGCTAATGTTAAATAATATTCATTGAATATCCAAATGAATGAAAATAAATGACAAAATACAGGTACATTTAACAGCTAAATAATATCTTGGATTAATTACAATCGGACTAAACAGGGTAACAAGTGATATTCATTTTTACTTCTTCGGTCACAAATTCCAAACATATACAAATGCATATAAATTACCCTTTATTTTGATGTATGATAATTTGAACCTAGATTCTAACCCTAGGTTAGGCACTAATGTGCTAATCAGTGGGATGAGGTAGTCTTTGCTTACTCTAAAACACATAAATAACATCACTTTCGACAATTTTTAGGATAAATTATTAAAAATCCCAATTTCCACTGGCAATTTCTTGTCGGCCTTTTTTTTTAGTTATTTTAACACTCTCAGATTTATTATCCTTTCTTGAGAATATCGGTTCATAACTTTATACACTTTCTACATCTGGCTTCGGACGATCAAGTGATAACCAGTATGATCTGATGACGTATAAAAAGTAAGCGTTGAACACTGAAAAGAAACAGAAAAAAAATAAAAAAAAATCTCGGGTACTATACTTTGATACTTCGGTATCTGTCAAGAGATTTAGGCTCCAGAAAGAAATAACCTTAGTCTTTAACAGAGTGGGAGACAAAAGGTACATTAATTAAAAAAAAAAACATACTTAACAATATAAATACACCTTACTTAGGGTAGGCTCCAAACTCAGTGGGGAAATATAGTGAGCTGGTGATTCAGAAGTTTTAAGAGAAAACACACTTACCACAAGCAATACTGTTCCCGACTGATTCTGATCGTTCCTTTTCCACAATAACTTCTTTAAAAATGGATACGATTATAAATAACGTTAGCATCATTGTCCCGAATATCAAATATTTTTTTATATAATTCCAGTTGTCCTGAAAAATATAGAAAAAATTGTACATTAGGAAGATCGTCTACTACAGGATCGAATTTTCCGTTAATAATTACTAATATGAAAAGTTTGAGAGTATCCCCGGTGGTTGCGAAAATAAAGGAGTAAAAGGTTAGAGTGGTATGAGCATGTTATGAGAAGGGATGAATCGCATGTAACAAGACGGACGTTAGTTATGAATGTGGAGGTACACCGGTAGAGGTAGACGTAGAAAGAGATGGTTGGATTGCGTGAAAGGTGACATGATCAAGAAGAGAGTGATGACTGAGATGACGGATGATAGAGTGCTTTAGAGGACGAAAACCCGGTGCGCCGACCCTACGGGAGTAGGATAAGGCAGGGAGATGATGAATTGCTGAGTATACAAGGATTTTATTACATATTTCTGAGATATAGATCACAGTCTCACTAAAGCAGCAAGGATTATAGCCTGGATTGTGTAACGTCAGCCAGTAAACCACAACTTTCTCACAGAAAAAAGGTGTAAAACCAAAGTTTCGTCTTTTCTAGTATGGTGACGTCGAAAACATTCTTACCAGCAACTATAATACATACTATATATTTATGAAGGCTGATAATTACGCAGGACATTTAAATTCAAATGACCTTGATGTCTTCAATTTTGCAGTTTTTATGAGAGAGAGATGGAATATATATATTCATAAAGATACGTCTTTCGCCCGCGCCTTATCTTCCAGACTTTCGTCTACGTCTATGCCAAATTTCATCGAGATCCGTTCATCCGTTTAGGTTACAAACTCTAACATCCATCCATCACTAAATATAAATCAAATTGTAATATAAAATAATATTGTAAAGAATGTAAGAATAAACGGAACGACAAAGTCTCTGACGACTGTAATGTCAGGGGTGTAGGAAAAAAAAACATCCATCCGTCTAAACTTTCGCATTATTAGTATGAATTAGTAGAATTACCAGGTACAATCCGAATAGGACTATGATGTTAAATACTACAAGAGAGATGGCGACGCATATCAAAAATCCGCCAGCGAACACGACGAATGTGATCACCCCTCCTAAATGATCACTGTCAGGGGAGATGTCCACATCATTCACTCGGGTATAGTAGTACTGTACAGCCGACACACACAACTGAATTGTAATGGTCTGGAGTGCCTGGAAAACAGAATTAGATTTTAAAAAAAGCAGACTATAATATGCCCGTCAATGTCAGCCACAATCTGAATGTCCCGTCAACATCGTTCCAACCATTTCAGAGACTACCCGGAATAAACGCGGATTGCGGACAGACAGAATGAAAATTTCTTTATTACTATTATCGTTATTAGCAACGTAAATATATTATGTTTCCGAAATCTGGTTATTTTTTTAATGTAACATACAGACGCTCCGATTTTATTACATTTATAGATGTATAGATTGCATATAACTACGTCGTAGTCTTTGATTCCAAAAATCAATCAAAATAATGGGACCCACCTGCAAGCATTACCTTTCGGATAAAGAAAGAATTATCAAAATCGGTCCACTAGCGGCGGAGTTATGCCG